ATTTATTATCTAGTCAGAGAATAAAAAAATGGAACAATATATTGCTCTGATTTGATTAATTATTATTTCTTACCTCACCAGATTCAGCATTTTCACAAACATAGCTCTCATAGTATTTAAATAACTCAGGAGCATGATCATTGACATTAAGAACTTGCACATACACAGGAACTGAGGAGAATTGCTGTGTGTTATCTGCAAATCAAACACGCAGAATGAAATAAATTTCTTTATGTTAAAAATCATGAAATGCATTGTATTAGTGTCTATTTGACATATTGATATTTTTACTTGAAGAAAACTAATGATGGCATAGCTATGTGATTCACATATTTGTCGACAACAAAGGCAAGAAAAATAAAATCTATGTTCAATTCAAGCATTGCTTACTCTTTACATTTACATGCTGTGTTCTATATTATCTGATGAGAAAACAAGCAGGAAAAAACGTTGCTCTCTGGACAACAAGCTGGCCTTCAGAGACAGTGGAAGTGTCTGTATCAATTCAGCCCGTTTGTAGTGAAAATAACAATTATTGCCCTCATCCAAGTTCTGATATTAGCATTGGGAAATTAGTTTATGAGTTGCCCAAGAATGTGAATGAAAATTATTCATAATGCCACAGCACTAAACATCTTGCATGAACTATTCGAACTAGACCATAAAGTTTAAAAGCAAAAATGAACAGGTAATACAGCGTGAAAACAACTTTTAAAAAGCAATGATGATAAAGTCTATCTATATTTTTATTAAAAGTTTGAGTTGGGAAGATCATCTAAATGAGAAAGGAAATATAGAAAATACAAAGAAAGGAATGGGTATCTAAATATGTTTTTAAAATTGCAGAAACAAGGAACAGCATAATGGACTGTGTGGAATACATAGAGGTGCACATTTATAAATGTATGTATATGTAACAATAGTAATCCAACAAGAGGATCAAATTGAGTGGGCATGGGAAGACATGGGATGAGTTAGAGGGAGAACTTGAAGGGGTCTGGAAATGATGTAAATAGAATACTCATGTATGAAATACAAAATAAACTATTAAAAAAATCAATAGTTCATCAACATCTCCTCCCTCTGAGACTAGGCCCAGTACTCAGTGCTCATGGTCAGTACCAGCCTAGGGAGTTAATCAGAACCACACCCAGCCTAGTCCTTTGAGACTGAAGGCCCTAAAGTTGCTTTCTCCAGATCAGCCTGCTGAGTTATTCAGAACATATCCATTCTATTGCCATCTCCCCACACACAGTCCTAGCTATGATTTCCTACCTCACATGCCAGAGATGCAGTAATAGTTCAATATATGTAAACCAATGCATGCAAGAAATCATAAAAATGAACTTAATGACAAAAGTCACATGATCATCTCAATAGATTCAGAGATGGCCTTTTATGAAGTCCAACATATCTTCATGATAAACAACCCTAGTGGGAATTGGACTGGATGGATCATACTTCAACATAATTAAGGTTATATACAACAAACCAACCTCCAACATCGTTCTAAATGGAGAATTCAAAGAAATATCACTAAAAGAAGTCTCTGAACAAACTATTTTAAGATTTCATCTTACCCCAGACAAATTGGCTAAGATTAAGAAAACTAATGACAACGAAGACTCCTGAAGATGGAGGAAAAGGCGAACTCTCTTCCTTTGCTGTCAGGAGTGCAAACTGGTGTAGCCACAGTGAAAATTAATGTGAATCCTGTAAAAATTATAAATAGAACAAGTTGTTCCACTATTTTGCATATACCAAAAAGGGAGTTACTTTTACTGGAGAGGTATGAATGACAGATAGACAGGTGGAAAGAAAGAAAAAGATAAGTAATACTTAGGTGGTGTGAAAATCCCAAGGGGAAAGTACTGGTTCACAAGCCTACTGATAAACTGCTACAAAGATACTTGCTCAGCCATGTCTATTGCTGCCTTTTGCAAAATAGCTAGGAAAGAAAAACAGTTTAAATGCCCCTCAACTGATGAATGGATAATAAAAATGTGATACATTTATACAATGAAGTTTTAATCATCTTAAAGAAAAATGAAATTTTAAAGTAAATAGATTGAACAAGAAACTGTTAGAAAGTGAGGTAACCACAACTCAGAATACAAGCTACACAAGTTCTCCATCTTTTGTGGACACTAGCTCCAAATTCTTAGATGGGAGTACGTATCACAAAATAAGTTCAGGATCCAAGGTTATAGAAAGGATTGTTGATGGGAGAGAGGAAAAAGGAGTTTCAGTGAGGGAATAGTATGAGACAGGTGATATTAAGGGGAAATGGGGGAAATGAGTGGTATTTTACCTGGGGAGGAAGGAGAGATGGCTATACAGAAGGAGAATGAGAAAAGAGAAATAAATAATGTTTAGGTGGTGTGAAGACCAAAGGGACATGTAGTTTTTTTTTTTTTAATAAGCTTACTGAAAAATACTCATATGATATATGTGTGTGCATGTGGTCAGCTGAGCTATATAACAAATATCACAGTGCCAGGCAAGGAAAACCTCCTTTTGAACTGTAGTTCAGTGTAGTCCAAGAGAGTCCTAAAATAATACAGGCTACTGCCACAGCCCTGGGATACTTCTGAGAAGAGGTGTAAGTTTTATGCATGTGGTTATAATGCAATGTGCTTGCAGACATGACTGTTAGGTTCAAAGAAAACTATACAATAAACACTGGTTTTTGATATAGTTCAATTTTTCAATGTAATAGCTATGTTTAAATTATTATCTTACATATGGGGGAATATAAAACAATGAAATCTGGTAAATAATACAGGTTATTTAACCAGAAAATAGGTGGGAAAATAATTTTTTGTATTTTCATTTTAAAAGGAGCAGTATGGAATGGGGTTGGAGACAATAGGCTTTGGGATTGCATAGAAATGTGATTCATCTGTCCTTATCACCTAGAGATGGGGGAGTAAATCGTAGGGTCACAGGTTTATATTCTGTGAAATAAGAATAAAATTAACATGTTTTTAAATATGTGTTTTAAAAATACTATTATGTGGCACATTTTTTCACAGAACATTGAGATCTACCAATTTTGACAGAACCCCAAAACAGCAAAAGAAAAACTTAATGAAATGTAATCCCACAAGTATCACATATATTATCAGTTACCTTAAAAACAAGGTGTTCTGTAAATGAATATGTGGAGGTACACTTAAGAAGGAAAGCTAGGGTCTATTTTCTTGGTCTATTATATGATTCATAAATTTCTTTGTCATTGTTATTTTATAGTTGTGGGGCCTGAGGCCAGGGGCGAGGCAGGATGGCGCCTAGAGGAAACGGCCAGGGTGTGATCAGACTTGTTTGGCGCCTAGAGAAAACAGCCAGAACATGGCCAAACTTGTTTTGAAGAATCGCTGATTGGCTCCTGCCATTTCCTTGCATCCTGACAGGGCGTGATCACCTTGAGAACACTATGCTGTGCTATGGAAATTAGACTGCATGCTCAAGTTCACATTTAATATGATTGGACACTTGGTTGGGAGGGGATTTTTCTTTGTGGTTTTTGCCTTCATAAGCCCTGTAACGCCTGTAAAAAATGAGTTCCTGCTTGACTGGCTCCCTGTGGCATCTGATTTTCTCCTAGGGAGGCTGCGGGTAACGGGCGACAGCTCATTTCCCATTCCCTGGTTCCTGTGTCGGGGCAGGATCCCCGACATCTGGCGCCCAATGTGGTGCCCGAAGACCACTCGGACCCGCTATGGGAGCTGATCTCTGGGGCTAATTGGGTGAGTATGGAGGGAAGTGAGATCCCAAGAGATGGGTAACGCAATGAGTAAAAGTGAGGACTCAGCCCTCACGGCGCAGAGACATGCTGAGATCCAGGGGCTTAGAACAGTCCAATTCCTCGTCAAAGAAGGTCTGGGAGGCCGCCCTGCATCTCACTCCCTGGCTGTCCACCAGCAATTTATTCCAGTGGGCTACCTGGGACCGGCTTGAACAACTGGCTCCCAAAGCAGAGATCAAGGTCGCAGGGGAAGATCAATGGATCGCATTTGATGAGGAGAGAGCCCAACGATTGAAAGTGAAGCACATACTATGGAGTCATCTGGAAGGGAGTGGGGTGATGAGAATGGGGAAGATAAACGGGGGACCCCGGGGGGTCGGGATGAGCATGAGGGAAAGGACTCTTGGGGTGGGGGACACTGATCTAATCCCCATAGGAGCTCTTTGCTCCCATGAGACTGGTCCAGGCTTTCCCGGTAAACATCAACCACGGACCTCAGCACCCAGCCGCCTGGTACCCTTGGGAGGCTAAAGATCTTAAAGAATTAAAGAAGGCGGTGGCTGAGGTTGCCTCGGGTCCCCTGGGTCAGCACCCTTCTCCAGGGCTTGGTATATCAACCCTGTATGGCCAAAGACTGAATGGATCTAGCCAAAGCAGTCCTCCTCAGCCCCTTGTTTATTAAATGGGCAGCACTTTACCGAGAGGAATGTCGGGACCAGGTGGAAAATAACCATGCCCCCAACCCCCCTGTCCCTATCACTTTCAGCACGCTGACAGGGAACACAGACGCCTTTGCCATGGGCACCCCGCAGACAGTACTTCTGCCAACATATACAGAACAAGTCAGGGCCTTTGGCCTCAAGGCCTGGCATATGTTGGATATGGGCCCTATGGAGTCACCCATATCGGAGATCCATCAAAGCTCAGGGGAGCCATTACATGAGTTTGTAGATAGGGTTGAAAAGAGTCTAAGGAGAAAGTTTCCCCCTGGGCCACTCAGAGAACAGTTCATAAAAATGCTAGTATGGGACCGTGAACGCCAACCATAAGGTCGCCTGAGGGGGGTTAAAGGACCATTCCATGAGCAGCTGGCTTGTGGCAACAAAGGACATATGGACCAAAACAAAGGCGACTGAGGCTATGGCCGGGGTCCTCAAGACACAGACAGAGGCTCTAGCTACAGCCTTTAGAGAAGCCCTCACAGGCCTTGGGCTGCAGGATAGGCACCCCAGGGCTGAGGTCCAGAGATGTTTTGGGTGTGGCCAGACCGGGCACCTAAAGAGAGACTAACTGCAAGGGAAAGCCCCTTTCAAGGTGGAGGGAGACAAGCCCAGGGCCCCGTGCCCACGTTGCCGCAAGGAGTTTCATTGGAAAAAGGACTGCCAGTCCAGGTATGATGTGGAGGGCAAACCTTTAAACTAGGTTTGGGGCAACCCCCAGCCCCATC